GTCATATTCCGGCTCCCAGTTACAGCAGACAGCCCGCGCGGCGAGAGGAAGCAGAGAGCAGAGAGCTCCCTCGCCGCGGCTGAGCTGGAGAAAGGCGCCTGCCCCCACTGGACCCCAGGAACAAGTCCACCAGCACTCCAGGTAGGAGGCTGGGTGGACATTTAAAAATTTTTTTTTAAATATAATAATTTGTGTGTGTGTGTGTCAGTGTGTGTGTGAGTATGTGTCAGTGTGTGTGTGTGTCTGTGAGTGTGTGTGTCTGTGAGTGTGTGTCAGTGAGTGTGTGAGTATGTGTCTGTGTGTGTGTGTCTGTGAGTGTGTGTGTGTGTCTGTGTGTGTCAGTGAGTGTGTGAGTATGTGAGTATGTGTCTGTGAGTGTGTGTGTGTCAGTGTGTGTCTGTGAGTGTGTGAGTGTGTGTCTGTGATTGTGTGTAAATGTGTGAGTATGTGTCTGTGAGTGTGTGTGTCAGTGAGTGTGTGAGTATGTGTCAGTGTGTATCTGTGAGTGTGTGAGTGTGTGTCTGTGAGTGTGTGTCAGTGTGAGTATGTGTCTGTGAGTGTGTGTGTCAGTGAGTGTGTGAGTATGTGTCAGTGTGTGTGTGTCAGTGAGTGTGTGTGTGTGTGTGTGTGTGTCAGTGTGTGTCTGTAAGTGTGTGAGTATGTGTGTGTCAGTGTGTGTGAGTGTGTCTGTGAGTGTGTGTGTCTGTGAATATATATATGTATATATATATATATATATGTATATATATATATATATATATATATACACACACACACGCGGCGTATGTTTGTGCTTTAGGGTGCACACCCTAATGCAATAGGCTGCGCACGCCTATGCCCACACCTATCACTAAGACCCAGGTGTTAGCCTTCCTAGGGACAGCAGGGTACTATAGACGCTTTGTCCCCGACTACAGCACTATTGCTAAACCCCTGACTGACCTGACAAAGAAAAATCTCCCTAAGCAGGTCCTGTGGTCTCCAGCTTGTGAAGCTGCCTTTCAAGCACTCAAACAGGCTCTTGTGAATGCCCCTGTCCTGGCTGCCCCAGTCCCTAACAAATGTTTTCTCGTCCATACAGATGCTTCCATATATGGACTGGGGGCTGTGCTGAGCCAGGTCGGGGAGGATGGAGGAGAGCACCCTGTCGCATATCTCAGCAGAAAGCTGTTACCCAGAGAAGTGAGTTATGCGGCAGTGGAGAAGGAATGTTTGGCCCTGGTGTGGGCATTGAAAAAGTTAAGCCCTTATTTATATGGACAGGAATTTTCCCTTGTGACGGACCACAATCCCCTCGTCTGGCTTAACCGGGTCTCAGGAGACAATAGCAGACTGCTGAGGTGGAGTTTAGCACTACAACCATATAACTTCAGCATCAGCTATCGACCCGGTAAGCAGAACGGGAATGCAGATGGATTGTCCAGGCAAACCGACATTCTTACCACCTCTTAGTCCGGTCATCCCCACGTTGACCCGCCAAAGGGTCAAGCCGGGTCTGCCGGAGTGTCCCACAAGGGGGGAGCCGTGTGACAGATTCACCTATATTGCTGGTTCATCTGTTTCCCCTTTATTTCGCTGGATTCCCTGTTCGTATGCCCCTGTTCGTGAAATTACAAAATGCCGATTGAAACTACCGACGAACGACCACCCAGGAGAGGAGTGTGTTGCTGGTTAACCTCTTGGCCCCAATTAGAACGTTGTGGTTAACCGCAGACACCTCTCCATTCCATTCGTACGTGTGGTCGTCGTTCACATGTCGACCACAAGGCAGCGGCCATTTTGGGACACGAGAAAGCGTAGCGGTGTTCGGTACAAATTCTATGGAACTAAAAACGGACACTTTAATCTACCGAACACCGCTGGAAGCTGATGCCCCCCCTTCTATTTCGGCGAGGCATACGAACGCCGGTCTGTTCGGGAGTTTTATGCATTCGTATGGACCTTTACCCAGATAGCCGTCCCATGGAGTCATTCGTATACCGAAGGACTGGTGAAAGACTTTGACTCCATGGCGATTCGACTAGATACATCGGATCTGAGCGCTATTCGGTGGAAATATGCACTCAGATCCAGGCTGTCTGGGGATACGTTATACGAACTATATTCATTCGGTATTTTCTAAGTTATGTATTTTAATGTATTTCTATTACTGTATTTTAAAATGGCGATGGTCTCTATCCTAGGAGATAATTAGGTTTCTTCCCAATTATCTCCGAGGTAGAGAAGACGGATTTATGGGTAAGATGGGAAGGGCTTATATTGAAGCCACTGCGATTGGCTACTGTACAATATGTTTTACAGTCTTCCACAAGGTCCCCTCGGGGAGTGTCCACCTTGTGGAGACCTGCATAAATACCGGGCAGGTAGCCCCCATTAAACAGAACCTTATTTGACCCTCAAGACGGAGCTTGGTCTCGTTTGTGGGGGAATTACTACTGGGACAGCGCTTTCGTTATTTCTAGCTGTGGAAGGCGTTCGACTGTTTTACTGATCGGGAGTTGCCGTGTTCGTGAACTTCATTCGGGAGTTTGGCGGTCGGCTGGATATAAACTGCATTTCTGGAGAAGGGGATTATTCACTAAACGGCGGCTTCATCTACCTGGCGGTGAGTGTCTTAACAGGACTTTTATTGGACTAGTGCTGGCCCTTTAAG